GGAGAGGAAAAGACCTCGCAAAAATGAGGTCAACATGAAGTTGGAGTTGGTGTTGTTGGTTGTGTGTTGATGGTGGGGTTGGTGTTGTTGGTGGTGCGTGTTGATGATGGTGTTGGTGTTGTTGGTGGTGAATTTGGTATTCGTGGTAATGCTGGCGATGTGTGTTGATGTCAGGTTGGTGTTGTTTGTAGTGGGGTTGGTGTTTGGGGTTTATTGTGATGTTTCCTTTCAGTTGGCTTTTCGAGTTTTAATTTTTTAAACGACATTGGTTCTTATCATTTATGCATTTATATTGCTTGGCTATTTTTCATGCTAATATTATTATTTTTCATGCTAGTATCGTAATTGTAAAGATAAGAGATTGGTTCGTTCGTCATGTGGGATAAAAATGTCAAAAATATCTTTTGCGACTTCTGTCTTAAAGAGGTGAAATTAGGAAATAAGTCAATTATCTTTTTTCAGAATTTAAATGAATACAATAATTTAGACACTCTTGTTAAATTCTGTAGGATTATCTTGGAGCAATCGATGGAACACACGCGAATGCATGTGTTTCGAGTAATGAAAATATTATGAAAATATCACGCATTCATCGGGCGATGCAAATCACCAACACAAAATGTTATGGTTGTATGTGACTTCAATATGTGCTTCATTTTTGTTATGACTTGTTGGTAGGAAAGTGCACATTACAGTCGCATATTTAAATTTGTCACAAACTCTGAAATACAACTTTCCTCAACCACCCCCAACTTTGCTTGAGTCTCAACTATTGAAATATTATTTTCACTACAATACTAATTATTGTATTTATGTCAGATAAATATTATTTGGTCGATCTTGGATATCTCCTACGAAGAGAGTTTCTAAAGCCTTTTACGGATACTAAGTACCTCATTCCTGGTTTAGAAAGAGCTAACAATACCGTTCGGGGTAGGAAAATATTTATTGTTTATTGTATCGATGTTTTATGCAATGATGTTTATTTTGAATCTTAATTTTATTTACAGTTCTTTTGCATGTATTATTTTCCACTTGGGTGGTCGATGAGGCAATCGTGGATATAATATGTAATATAAATCTTTATTTCATGTTCTATTTTTTGTTTTGGAGGTCTATGATAAGACATTCAACCTTAAGGGTTATTTTGGATGGCCTATATGTTGCTATTGGTTTTTGACATGTGTGAAATCCCAATGAAGACAACCACGTTTCTCTCATTTTTCAATTCTATGGTTGTTGAGGCTCTTATGGATGGTTTTTCTTAGTGATATGCATGTGTCACATATGAGCTAGGTATTACGTGGTTTAAAGACAACCAAAAACTTTTTTTTAGGAGGTTTGATGTATTGTTGTAGTGACAGATTCGTTGGTTTATACTATGTTCTCTGAGACCTCACAATTTCATAAAACTTGAATTAATTGCTTCTTTTTTCACTAATGTTGCATCTGATGATTTGTGCTTAGTTGTTTTAAACCTTCAGAAAAGATAAACTCGTGAACTTCCGGTATCTTTAGAGCATCGTATTGCTACTGTGGACTAAAATATTCCCTGCTTACTTCGCGACAACCACATAGTTACGTGAGACAGTTTTGTTGGTGTTCAATGAGAAGAACAAAAATATGTGACTTTTTTAGGTGGACAGATGTGTTTAAGGATTTCACCGCCTATAAATAATAATAAGGCATGGAGAGTTTTCTTGGAATACGAATTATATAGTGATAGTAACCAAGTGCATTTTAAAAACAATATTATCATATTATTAATTATTATTTTAATAGTTTTTTTATTTATTTTGATTGTCATGTTACTCACTGTTTATTGAGGTGTTTGTTTTTATTTTGTAATGTTCAAACTTGATATCTCTTTTCAAGTTTGAAATGCGTTAGCAGCAAAAAAAACAAATCAGCTTTTGCGCAGCAATTTCCTAGAATAACTGTTGCTTAATGACTTTTTAATAAGCTGCAACTGCTCCAAAATAGACCCTTAATGTCATAAATGTGTGCTTTATTAAGATTAACTTGCAGTTTCATATTCATTTAACTTAATCATTACTTAGCACAAGTGATCAAGTTGGTCGGTCTTTGTCGGGCTATAAATGAATTTATCATTAAAATAAACTAACATAATTTTTATTATTTTCATGAAGATATTTGACATTGAAAAGGTATTTGGAACATCGGACAATAAAGAAGGCATTACAAATCATTCAGCAACCTAATAGGTGTGTTAAATATTATTTTCTATTCATTCTTGGGATAATATAGATTTGTTGATACTCAGTGACTTGGACATCACGTCTTCTAGTATATGTGTGAGAAATCTGTACTCTATTTTGTTTTTATAAATTACACAACTACCAACTCATATATTAAAAGTCATCTTTCTTTGGTGCTAACAATACATGGACAACACATGCATATAAATCTTCTCCTAAAAATCTATTTTTGCACTAGTGTATATATTTTGGCTTTTGAACTCATCATACTCGGTGGAATCTATCTTCTATTATATTAAATTTGGTAACTGTGAACAATTTAAAATCTATGAATTGCTGAATATTTTTTATAGGAGGAAGCTCATTAGCCAATTCAGTAGGTCTAATGTCTTGAAATTTTGATGGGTCTCTTACTACAACATGCAAATGGTACTTAGAAACAAGAGGAAATATCTCAGACGTGATCAATAAAATGGTACGTGGTTCTAGAAGTAGTCTTTGTATCAAAACTTTGCTTGTGTAGTTAATTAGATGAAAATTCTATAAACTTAGCTAGAAACAAATGAATAGAAACTCCCTTGAGCTCAAAGACATTTATGTTTTTGCTATCCATTTTGAATAACATTTGTCAGAAAGTAAAGGGCAGCCTAGAGCATATGTTCAAAGTTCATAAGGAGGGCATCATCAACATGCATTTGCGGGAGACTACCTTTGAAAACCCAAGCATCCTCATCAATAAACAGCTCATCATCGATCATATCCTTAATTCATCTTTTTAGAGCAGCCAAGAGAATGTGTCCAAAATTCATAAGGAGGGCATCGTCAACATGCAATTGCGGCAGAGTACCATTGAGAACCCAAGCATCTTCATCATTAAACAGCTCATCATTAATCACATCCTTAATTCATCTTCTTATGACTCGTTGGATTCTATGTTTGCTTGATCTATTAAAAGTGTAACTTGAAAGCATAATTTAATGATATAACCCTTTTGGAGACCTTTAATGCAAATGATTCTCGAAGTGTTAATTGGCTTACTAGGTGCATTCTCACATTGTTTCCTAAATTTTTAGGTAATTCACTCTAATGCCAATGTTGATTAGGGGGATGAGAGAAAGAAATGCGTGGACACAACCTATAAATGATTCACGCATAAACTTGGATTTTATGAGCATGCAGCTGGTTTAAAAATATTAATTGTCATCCATCATCAATCAATCAAATTCATCATGGATTCTTACTATAGAAATAGGGTTGCAAAAATAAGGGAAAATACTAAAATTAAATTTAGTCCTTAAAAACATTCAAACTTAAATCTTTTGTCATAAAAAAGGATAAAAATCTAATTAAATAATTTAAATTAAAAAAAAAACGAAATTTGACTATTAAGTAGAAATTTGCTGCGAATGGCTTGTAGCAGGAGTGGCTTAGTTTGGCCAGCATTTGGCCGCAGGGCTTCTATATGAAGATTTTTCCCTTTTAAAGCCCTAGGCTGCATCACAACGTAGCATTTGTTACCATAGTTTGATAAGCCCTTCTAAAAATAGAATGGATAGCATGATATAACATAGTCAATAATAAATTGTGCCTTACTTTATACATTGGGCACCGTTATGTAATTTTCTGTTAAATCTGACCTGCTAGTCTTTATGTATAAATGCAATAATATTTGAAATCGTGCATACTGCATGTTTTCTCATAGGTCCTGGTAATTTACTAATTTTCATGCTAACTGCTTAAGTTCTTCCAAAATTAACTTCGGAGCTTGTGTAAAAATTCAGCTAACTTATTGAACTACTTATTCACTTATTAAAAGAGAAGATTGCTGCCACTCGATTTAGTATATCAAATATTCATTAATATTATTCAATTCTCTCGTATTGTTTCTGGTTGTCCTTATAGTTGATGCATCATCTTTGGCAGGCAACATTTTTAGATGATGAGTTTGATATTGAGCATGCTCGTTTGCATGGCCATATGCATTTGCTAGAGGTAAGTCTCTCCATAATGCATGCTTCCACATCGCGTACATACTACGTAGAACTAAAAATTACATTAAAGATGACATTTGGTGTAAGATATTTTACTGTTTTGCTCTCCCTACATATGAACCCTAGGTGGAAATTCTTCAATTTGATCACATGCTCATGTTCTTGTTTTGCAGATTCTGGAGCATGCCCAGTGGTTTTGCAACAAAGCTATCTTGCTCACTCACTTCTCGTCCCGTTACAAAGTTGAGGTGCGTGCATGGATGCCTTCTGATCCCTAGTTTGCATTTGTATTTCGGGGGATTTACATGCATACGGCACTATTCTTGTGTATTTACACGTCTAACACCTAAACTTTCATATATACATACATGACACTCCAATCTTTAATATCAAAGCAAAAATATCACTACCACTAAACTTTTTAAAAATGAAGTACACCTTTTTCATGCGTAGGTACATGATACCGAAGTGTTATAAAAATATTAAATTTTAGTTGTTAGATATGTAAATACAAAGGAATTGTGTCGCATGCATGCATATTTCCATTTTTTTTCTTTTTCTAAACATTGAGCTGATCTTTACAGGACATTCGAAAAGCTATCTTGAAACTGCAGCCTAAAGTATCAGCCAAAGTTATGGCTCTTACAGAAGGATTCAGATCGTCATACTCTTGAGTGCACATCTATGCATTCCTTAATAATTGACTACTGTCCAGGTGCTATAAGGTTTTTTTGGCATAGGATATTGTGATCAGACTTGTTCTTTTGAACATCTGTCACGCTTCTGTGGAAGGCTAAGGTCAACTAATTCATGGATTTTAGTTTCATGTAATTTTAAATGTATTAATTTTATGTCATAAATTGATATTTTTTATCGTGTAAGTATTATAGTTATAGTGTAAGGTTGACATATATTTGGCATCTGAAATTTGTATTTAAAGCCAAATAGACTCCGGATTATTCAACTATTCATGTCAAGAACCTGTTTGTGTTAGATCGTATACAAGTTTGTATCGGGATTGTTTAGAATTTGTTGCACCATATTTTATATCCGAGATCAAATTAAGAGAAGGCAGGTTTGTGGATATTTGATGTATTGACTAAAGTGCCAGAAGGGTTTCCTTATTATATACATTGGGCCATTTCAAATTTTATATTCTATAGAACTGTCAACTTACTCCCAAGATTCTTTTATTATGTGCTGAAATAGTCCCCCACTCAACCTGCAAAAAATGAGGGGATTATTTTTCTCATTTATTTTTAGCCGTAGAATTGATGATTTTAAATGCTAATTAAACATTTTTGGACACTTCAGGAAAGGGCGGAGGAAACCGTTATGATAACCTTTTTATTATTTAACTTTGGGTTTTTTTTTTTCATTTTTTACCATTCATTATCAAGGTTTATTTATTTGTTTGTTAATTGAAGATGATGGGTTGTCACATTATTCTTGGCATGTGGCAAGTTAATGTTAATCAATAATAATGCTTCTAAGAAGAAAATGGGTCTACTGTCATATTTTTTTTGCGCAAGGATGATTTTAGTTGGGTTACCGTACGTAGCTCTGTCACTAATTACATAAACTTGATTTATTGGATGCCTGAAGATGCTTAGTGCAACACGACCGGTAATTGTCTCAAACAATGAGTATTTTTTAGGAAAAAAGGGGGTTAAAAAGAAGTTACATAGTATTAGTGAAAATATCACAAAAATTGTATTGTGAGAAAGAACTGTGAGTTCAAGCAATGAGTTGATATATGCTTGATCTGTAGCTCTTTTAGGTGTTTTAATTTGTTGCCACTCATTTCATTAATGCCAACCATATCTATTACTAGACAAATGATTGGCTTTTTCTCGATCCAATTCAGTGGCTGTTTGATTGTCTGTAAAAAAAATATAGAGTAAAAGAATGCAATGTATTATAATTATAGTATAGCATGTAACTGTAAACAGTTTAATTGTCTGTAAAGTAAGTACATGAGAATTATTTTTCTTATTTAGTCATACGCATGTAAAGTAAAATAAAAAATAATATTCAACATATCTGAACTTGTTTGACTATCTGTAAAGTAAATACAAATAAATTATTTATTATATTTATTTAAAAAATTATTATAAAGTACAAGTGAATTATCACATTGACTTTTATCATCAAGCGTGAATTTTTATCACATGTTTGATAAATAATCTTTCAAATTCAATATTTTTCATGAAGGAACATTGGAACAACATGAAGTATCGGGCTTGTAATTTCATCAATATTTTTCTTCGAAATAATTATAATAAATATTGGTGCTCCCTGTTAAATATTGTTATGGGAGTAAAATGTAAAACTGAGACCCTAATTGGAACTATGTAATGAAAACATTTAACAGTATTAGAAGTCCAAAAAAATAATTAAAAAAACTATAAAATTGTATATACAAGAATATAATTCTACATTGATTTTTATTTAATCATAAATAAGTTTGGTGGTACATGAAAGTAGAAATACATGTATATTTATTACTCTTGCTTTACAAGCAAAAATCAGTTTCACTGGATCTCTCTTAAGAATTAGTGATGATGAGAATATTTCCTTTGATCTTGCTGCATGAAATGAGAGCTCTTTTAGCTGCAAAAACTTAGAGAAATGTCATTTAAGATCATGTGCTACACTGTTGAAGGTTTATTTGGTCTAACGACAACTAGTTTTACATAGAAACACTGATCAAATATATCATTCAATTCAAATGTATTTATATATCTAACACCGAAACTTCAATTTTTACATATATTCCACGTTTATATGCATAAAAATAGTATGTCTTTTTTTAAAAGTTAAAACAGTGGAATTTTTTTATATGATGTGATACATATTCAACCATAAATATAAAGGTAAACTTTAGGTTTTGGATATGTAAATACATAGAAATTGGGTGGTATGTATGTAACTGCCCCTATTTTTAAGGTCTATTCTTGCTTGATTCCTTA